AGGGGCCTTCCACAGTTGGGGCCCAGCTATGCCACTTCTAAGCATTAGTCCCGGTAAGACTGTGGAGAACCAGTGCCAGCTAAAACAGAAGTGCCAGGATAAGTCGACTTCTTGCAAGGCAGTTGGACAATCTGTAATGGCTCCTGGGGGCACAGGTGACTACGGGGGGCCTCATGGGGAGGGACAGCAACAGCACGCAAAGTGCCCACTCCCCGGGTGCCAGAGCTGCTACTGCCGGTTCTACTCCAACAGCCTCTTCTGATTATGGGAAGCCCTTAATCTGGTCAGAGCACATGCAGCCAACATACTCAGCCCCTTCATCTTCTCCCCAGGCCACCGTCCTGTGGCCACCGCAAACTGCTGAAAGGGTAGCCCCCCTCAGTCACTGCCAGTGCTGGCACAGCTCCTTTCCCCACTGAACTCTTGGAGGAAAGACGCTGCCGCCACCCTGAGAGTGTCACGGAGACTTGTTGTTATAATTACGAAGATCCCATCCTAATAATTATTTTCTTCAACTCACCCACATGGAAAATTGTCTGTGTACAGGAGGATGTATTTTTAAAATTAACTTCTCCCCCACAACACAACCAACGCAGAGAGAAAACTCTGCCTCTAGATTCAGCAGATTTGAGGTGCACTTGACCTAAGCAAGCAGCTTACCCAAGACGAGGGGGATGCAGTCCTCTTAGAGCCCTGTGGACACCCACACCCCACTGGCCCCATGGCACAGTGCCAGCATGAACCAGGCAGGGCCAAGCGCCGAGGGTGCAGCCTGGGCAACTGCAACAGGCATGAGCGCTGCTGCACAGACGGTGGGCCCCTCTGGGTGGCATCTGAGATCCAGACTGCTACCTTCAAGAGGGTGTTAAAGACATGTCTCTTCCGACCAGCCTGCCCAGAGTAATTCCTGGATTGGTTTTATTTAATATGCTTGTTTTTAGTCAAAATGTTCATTATTGTTGGCTTTAATCTCATGCAAACGACACAGCGCGTATAGGAATGGAGCAGCATATAAAAATATGAATGAATGAAATATTGAGCACACAGATGGAGAACAGCAGATACAAAGAACTAACCCAAACACTGACATCACCCTGGTGTATTACGTGGGCTTCAACATGGGTTGTTCAAACCCCAGTGAGTGTCAGGCACCATCCTTAATAAGCAACTCCCAGTTAGGGGGTTGCCACATCACTTGAACCCGTCCACTTCGAACTATTTGAGGATTACATGATCTTCACGTAACCTTCAGTTTAGCATAGGGTTACGCAAGATTGTTCAATCCTCAAAGAACCCACAGTGGCCAGGTTCACATAATGCAGCATGCACACACATACCCACACTGGCACCAAGTGGGGGTGACATATTCAGAATGGTGCCTACAGCTCACGGGGGACTGAACACCCCACACTGAGCCTCACGGAAGTGCAGACTGGGCCAGTATCAAGCGCGTGTCCTGCGTCTGCATAGCTGTCATCTATCTGTGCACTTGACGTCTGTGAACATGCAAGCCCGGTCTTGCTCGCTTCAGAGGAGAGGCGGCAGCTGCTCCTTTGGAAGAGGAAGGTGAGAAGAGAAGCCTCCTTCGGCACCTGCCATCTGCCAAGAGATGCGGAGCTGCTGTATCCTGGCCATGAGTTGCTTAGAGATTGATAAACAAGCAGCAAAGCCTTAAACCTGGCCTGGCAGCACAGAGGAGGCTGTTTCCCGGCACAGGTGCAGCACGGAGATATAAGCAACCGGGAATTGCAGGCAGACAACTGCGTGGGCTAGCAGAGCGGGGTGGAGCGCAGGGAGGGCTTGCGTGTGGAGCAGGACCGGCTCCAGCGCACGGCTGCCTTCGCCTGCGATCAATCGGCACCACAGCAGCTACCATTAGACCGAACGACTGCACACGCCCCAGTCCTGCGCTCGCCCTCTTCTTCTGGGATGGGCAGATGCAGCAAATGTCTCCCCTGCTAACAGCTGCAGAGACGAGAGGATTTTGGAAGCTGCAACTCATGGTGAAGCCACCGGGGATGTCCTGCCCCCAGTCCAGCCCCCCATGCAGGCTCTCTTCTGATAAAGCACAAAGCGGATGCCAAAAGCCGGATGGCTACCTCACGTGGGGCTGGGTGCCCTTCGGGATGCTGTGCTCTCTCTCAGTCTCCACATCTGAAACGTGAGGGACTAATATTGGTCTACCTTACAGGGATCATGCAAAGGACACCCAGATAACATACAGGAAGTCTTCTGATGGTCAGAGAAGCATTCAGACGCTAGCGGCCACCTATTCTATCAGCTCAGTTCCCAGGTGTATCACCACGTACCAAGGGAGCATCATCGCCGCCGCCACCACCACCACCACATTTCTATATCACCCAGTAACAGAAACTTTCTGGGCAGTTCAAAATAATTAAAACCATAGAATACAGTGCAACAAAACATAGTTTAAATGTTTTATACTATGTTTTACTAAGTGTAAAACTACAGCATAGAACAAAAGCTCAGGGAACTAAGATTCCATTTGGATGCCAAGAAGCACTTCCTGACAGTTAGGGCCCCGAGGGTGTGGAATGGGCTTCCACGGTAGGTTGGTTGAGGCCCCACCAGTGAGGGTGTTCAAGGATAGGCTGGACATGCACATGGTGGGCATGTTGTGAGTGGAGCCGGCTGGAGCCAGGGGTCAGACTAGATGGCCCGGGAGACCCCTTCTGACTCACTCTGTTTCTATGTTTCTGTTAAAAGGTTGGAATTCAGGTTGCAATCAGCGCAGCGTAGGGTCACAAGGATGGTGGCTGGATTGCAGGGAAAGCTGTATGAGGCGAGACTGAGGGAACTAGTCTTTTCAGCCTTGAGGAGACCCCGGGGGGATCTGTTGCCAACATATATGTGAGGCAGTGTCACACAGAGGTAGGTGGAGACCTGTTCTCCCCTGAAGAGGAGGACAGGACGCGCTCCAACGGAGCAAAGCTCAGGGAACCAAGGTTCAATTTGGGTGCCAGGAAGTACTTCCTGACAGTTAGGACCCTGAGAGTATGGAATGGGCTTCCACTGGAGGTGGTTGAAGCCCCATCAGTAAGGGTATTCAAGGACAGGCTGGACATGCACGTGGTAGGCATGTCATGAGAGGAGCCAGCTGGAGCCGGGGGTCAGACTAGATGGCCCAGGAGACCCCTTCTGATTCACTCTGTTTCTATATTTCTGTTTCCAAAAGTAAAACCCAGCAACAGGGCAAACATTTTTTTAAACAAAATTAACAGCTTAAAAAACAACAAAAAGGGAAAGGCATCATGCCACTAGCCCCCAAGTAGGCTCAAGAGAATCTGGGAGGAGAAGCCAAGCATTAAGGTTTGTATTCAAGGGTGGCTAAACAAGGCTGGATTGCAATATCCCCGGCTACATCACGCTGGATTGTTTCTACATTACAGAGCTGGGGAAGCCAGCCAGCTCCATTTTCTGCCCATCAAGTGGCAGGTGGCCAACTCCACTGGTAGCAGAGCCAAGCCTGGCCCCCTTACCTCAAGCAGCCAGGAAATACATCTCCAGAACAGCCAAGTTCCTGGAGAGCATCTGACACCAGAGCAGTCTCTTGCTTCTTCAAAAGACAGCCCACTTGGGAAACAAAAGACTTGTTCACACAAGTAAACTGACCTCCTAAATAAAAAGGCTTATATCTGTGCTGCCTTGTGTGCTAACCATGGTTAGGAGACATAGCAAAGTTATTACTGTGCTTGGCCTGAGAAGGGAAAGACTTCCACACAGCGGCAAGTCTGGAGCACACCTGGATTCAAGCAATCTAAATTCCACATTATTGCTACTTAATATAAATTATGGAATGTTTTAAGGCAATTTTAGCTTTGTACTTCTTGTCTGCTTTTGTTTTATTATATAGACATAGATACAGATATTTACATTTTTATATGCTAAGATCTATGGCTAATGCAAATAAAGACTGAATGAATGGCAAATTCCCCACTGTGTAACTCTCAAGTAGTTCTGGGTATATCTCTCTCAAACTATTTATTTATTTATTTACTTACTTACTTACTTAAAACATTTCTATGCCGCCCCCATCGCAACAAAGCCTTGGGGTGGCTCACAACATTCATAAAAAAATTATGAATTAACTAGCTTTCCCAACATACATTAAGAGTGATACTCTCACTAAACTCTGCAAAGGAAGAAGGCCAGGGCAAAGTACAAATAAAATTCAATACTTGGTATACTAATTTGCCACAGCTCAGCATTCTACCTTTTTTACAAGTTAAGTTGCTAGCTCTCATCATCCAGAAAAGACAGGTTTTCTACATAATGGCCACTCATTCCCGTGGTTGGTGGAATCTAAATTAGTGGTCCAACCCCTCGCCCATTCACTGCTCTGTGGGTGCTCCTAACAAGCTGCAGAATACTCACCCGCCCTGACTGCTCTGGGTTGTACAAACAAATTGCTTTCTCTTCTAAGGACAAGAGTGCAAATAAATGCACTCTGACAACAGCTTCATATATCGTAGACCCACCAGAAGCCTCACGTATATGAACATGAAGTGGTGTTTTTAGAGTAACTTACAGTTTTTTGTATACCAATCCAAACTTGCTGTTGGATGTGTGTGGAGACCAATGTGGTTTGTTATGGCCTGCTTAGAAAAAGCTGCCACCACCAACCGTTCCAGCAGGCTGCATGGAGGGACCACAAGAGAGGCCCGTCCCATCTTCCCTGTTCATTTTCCCTCTCATCCTTCCCTATCCCTTTTTCCTTTCATGTATTTTTTTAGATTGTTCGCCTGCAGGCAGAGACTGTCCTGTTTCACAGTTTGGGGGGGGGGGGGGGGGGGGGAGAGACAAAGGTTTTTGGAAGAAAACCATCATAAGAAACACTTTATCCTACTCTAGGTTTCCATAGCTAACTGCCATTCTTGAATTTGATTATCAATGTGAGTACCAAAGACAGAAACATGAGCAAATATGAATCTCCGCATGCAGATTAATATACCTTGAATAACTGGTGCCATGAAAAACAGGGGGCAGTCATTGGCTGGGTTCAGATGACATGATAACCCACACTCAGACTGAGTATGGGTTAACACTGAACCATGGGCTGTCATTGAACCATGGATGTCTGATGAGATAACAAACCATTCCGGACAACCCACGATTCACAGCCAGGCAACAAACCACAGGTTCTCTTCATGGACCACAATTAACAAGTCATGGCTTGCTAGTGCAGCTGAAGTCACATGGCACAACCTATGTTTCAAACAACCCATGGTTTGATGGCCATGGCTGCCTGAACCCAGTCACAGCCTCTAGCCCTTGCTTGTGGGCTAGTGAGAGACCTGTGTGTTCATGCACAGAGCGCTAGCCTCAGCAGACTTTGGTCTAATCCAGCAGGGCAAACGCACACTGAAATTGCATCTTGGGCCACAGAGACTTCTCTGGGCTTTCCCTCCGCCCCCATCAAAGCATCCAAGTGCCACTCTTTTGTCCCCCAATTGCTGCATCAACCTCCTGCTCAATATTTTCAGAATGTCAGCATGATGAGTACTGCTCTTACAGTAAAAAGGTCTGCTGCTTCCCTTACCAGGCATAAATCACGAGGCAGCGTTTGTTTTATTGTGGCACCAAGCTCCCATACTCGGTGCAGTCCTCCACTCCACCCGGCCGGCCGTTTTGCAAACAGGAGCTTGCCTTCACACTCCTCCACTGAATGTGCTAGAGGTCAAAGGACGGTGTGGTGCAGTGGTCAGTCTCAGCCTGGGAGACCCATGAGACTCATTGGCTGCCTTCAGCCAAACGCCTGATTCTCAGCCTAACTCATTTCACAGGGCCGTCAAGAGGGTAAAATAGAGAAGGGGGCACTGTAAACCCCCTTGGGTTATTTGGAAGATGGGAAAAGGTGAGAAATAAAAACGTGGTAAACAACAATGCAGCAAGGGGTAGAAGACCAGCTCAAAGAGAGAGCACCAGACTCATCTCCTTCCCGTTACCTTGGGCAAGGACTAACAATAGCACTGAAATCAAAAGAATAGTCCCTTAGCATGAGACCCATGCTTTGCCACCAGTGGTTTGGTCAGCATCACCACCCCAGAGAGCAGACAGCAGAGAGCAGAGTGATGGAGATTTGGAAGAATACAGAATGAACTTCATGTCCACCTCGTTTCCATTCCTGATGCCACTCTCTCTCTTGCTCTCTCTCAGCGTTACTCTGCTGCTCGCTTTTACTCTGGCCCACGACTATTATTCTGAAGTGTTAAGTTTTCTTATCATATTACTGGATTTTATGGTTTTATCTTTTCTGAACTGCCCAAAGAGTTTTGGCTATTAGGTGGTATAGAAAAGCGTTACATGAATACAATAAACGACACTTTCTACTCAAAGCCCCCAGGTTAACAAGACTTTCACTTGGCATCCAATTCCAGTAGTGGGATACTGTGAACAGCCTGTTTTAGTTTCACAAGCCCCACCGAAGGAGCTCAGTCAGGGCATTCTGCAACTTGCAAATCCTTGCCAGCAGATCATGTGTCAGAGGGGAGGGTCATATATCAAAAAGTGTCCCCAAAGATCAGTGAGCCTCATACCTCCATTTTTTAGCTGTTTTGGACTCTCCTGTCAGAATGTTTTACAGGAAGGACTTACCGTATTTTTCGCTCTATAAGACGCACTTTTCCCCCCTCAAAAGTAAGGGTCTGTGCGTCTTATAGAGCGAATGTGTGTGTGCCCGACACCCAGGACGCTGCCGGCTGCCTGCACCACGTGGCACCACCTGGCCGGCACGCGCTCGGTGTGCCCTGCTCCACCCGCCTCCCTCCAGCGCAGGTGAGAGCTGTGCCGCTCAGGGGGAGGCGTGCGGAGGAGGAGGAGCCGCGGGCTTTAACCTGCCGGCCCATGGAGAACTGCTCACCCCCACCGCCCGGGAAGACCTGCTGCGCCACCCGGAAGTCCACCGCCAGCACGCTTCCGGCCCCACGTGGCACCACCTGGCCGGCACGCGCTCGGCATGCCCTGCTCTGCCCCCCTCCTCTGGCGCAGGTGAGAGCTATTAATCACAGGTCGGTGTGTGTTTTCAAATGGCAACCCATCTTTTAAGGAAGCCCATGGGGAAGTGATGAGGAATGTGCCTGTGATTATTAGGAAGCTTTCCATGGATCAGTTATCTGTTCGTTGATCAGACACATTTTTTTTAGGATCAGTGGATATTTGAACAGCATTACCTTCGTGTATGAAGTTTATTCTTCAAAGGCTACTTAGTCTGCTGTGTGTTTGATTTACCATACAATATCTCGTTTTTTGTCAGAAGTTTTTTTCTATTATTTACTAGTAGGGCAGCGTGGACATTACTGGCTTTTTTAGATTTGTTATTGAATTGTCTGCAGCAGCTCTTGTATAACTGGTGCAGATAGTGGATTCCTTCAATAATTCCACTACTTACTAAAAAAGTGATGTCAGTGATTGTGAGCAACAGAACTTCATAAATTCTGACTCTAGTGATGATGAGTTCTATGGGTTCAGCAAAAACTAGAAGAGTACTTGAACTTTAAAGTCTCTCTTTTGTTAATGACAGTGATGATGGTTCTTAATGCCACTGTTGACTGCTGTTCACTTTACAGGGTTGAAATACGGTATTACTGTATTCTGTTATAGTTTATTAAATAGTTTAGTAAACCATTTGATTCAGAATTTTTTTTCTTGTTTTCCTCCTCTAAAAACTAGGTGCGTCTTATGGTCAGGTGCGTCTTATAGGGCAAAAAATACGGTACATATACCAACACACACACACATCCCCTATCACTTGCAGTTCTGGCATTGCTGACAGAAGGAGCTGGAACGAAACACCAAAGTAACTCAATAGCTCAGCTCAAATACTATTTAGTCTGCAACAACTGACCAAAGGCAATATGGGAGAGAGAAAGAATGCATGAAATGGGGGCTAATACCGGGGGGGGGGGGATAACTGCATTTCAAAAAATAAAAACAGGTCACTTTCTTTTGCCACTATTCTTGCCCTCCAGGCAGGTGCAAGATGAAAAATGGTCAGCCCTTCGTGCCACGGTGGGAGCTTCGAAGAAGTTCCAAGCATTACACAACTGGGTTCAGCTCAGGTCGCTGAATGCGCTGTGGCTCTCCAGCACCACTGGCTGCTGCTTCCTGCCTATGCCCTGGCTAAGGACTCAAAGAAACCCTACCTTGATTTTCCGTATTGGAAGCTGACAGCAATGAAAATCTGTAGGAAGATATCAGCCCCGTGGAATGTCCAGACAAGGCCCCCCGTTGCCGGTTCCCAAATGTAATCACTCAGAATGACAGGGGAAACAGCAGCAGCCCTCCCACTATGTTTAGAACCAGCATTACGACCTGCTGAACTTTGTGGCCGAGAATGTGCTTTTTTCCTCCTCCCTCCCAATACTCTTTCCTTTTGTGTCACGGCTTTCAGACTGTAAGCCTGCAAGAAAGGGACACTCCCATTTGTGAGCTTTGGAAGGCTTTCTGGTAAGCCCTTTGGCTCTGGCTCAGGGTGAAAATGCTATAAAATGAATTAATAATTAAGGTGTGTGCAGATATTGTTGTCAGCATCAATCTAGCACTCCGATACTAATTTTCAAAAAGGGTAGTAAAAGGGACAAGGGGAATTACAGACCTGTTAGCCTTACATCCATTGTAGGAAAAACAAAGGAAAGGCTCATAATAGAGAGAGATCTATTGATGCTTGATAGAGAAGGAAGGCTGACAGCCACACAACACAGCTTCCGCAAAAACAGGTCCTGCCAGACAAATCTTGTGGAATTTATGACAAGGTTTCGAGGTGGCTGGATGGAGGGGATGCAGTGGATGTGGTTTACCTGGATTTCAGCAAGGTCTTTGACAAAGTGCCCCATGATATCCTGGTGGAGAAACTGAGGAGTTTTGGGATACACCAAAGCACTGTCCAGTGGATTAGGGCATGGTTGACTGACCGAAAGCAGAGGGTAATCATTAGTGGGGAATTGTCAGGATGGCAGCCAGTGACAAGTGGGGTCCCCCAGGGCTCTGTCCTGGGGCCGATCCTGTTTAATCTTTTCATTAATGACATGGAAGAAGGGTGAACAATCTGCTGATCAAAAGCACAGACAATACTAAAACTGGAGCAGTGGCCACAACTGAGGAGCAGGTACTCCAGATCCAAAAGGATCTGGACAGACTATGGAAGTGGGCAGGAGACAACAGGATGGCGTTCAAGGTGGATAAGTGCAAGGTCTTGCACTTGGGGCATAGGAATAGGTGTCATAAGTACAGGTTAGGGGACAAGTGGCTGGAGAGCAGCACTTGCGAAAGGGACCTCAGGGTACTGGTTGACTGCAGGCTGAACATGAGTCAGCAGTGTGATGCGGTGGTCAAGAGGGCGAATGCCACCCTTGGTTGTATAGCCAGAAGTGTGGCTTCTAGGTCGAGAGAGGTATTACTACTACTCTAGTGCACCCACAACTGGCATATTGTGTTCAGTTTTGGGCCTCTCATTACAGAAAGGATATAGCCTGGTTAGAGTCAGTGCAGTGTAGGGTCACAAGGTTGGTGGCCGGTTTGCAGGGGATGCCGTATGAGGTGAGACTGAGGAAACTGGGTCTCTTCAGCCTGGAGGAGAGGAGACTCGGAGGGGATCTGTCGGTGACATACAGGTATGTGAGGGGATGTCACATGGAGATGGGTAGAGACCTGTTCTCCCCTGCAGAGGAAGGCAGGATGCGCTCCAACAGAGCAAAGCTCAGGGAGCCAAGGTTCCATTTGGATGCCAGGAAGCATTTCCTGAC